GAGTTGGGAATAAGTCCTGCTAACATATCTGGGCAAGTGGTTTCCAACACCCACAGAGTTCTTACACAATACATGAGCTTTAAGGAAAGTGCTGGGACCATCCCCATATTTCTAATTTGTCAAAATTACAGTATTGGGTTCAAACATTCCTCTCACACACTGCACCAAACTTACATACTCACTAAGGACCTCAACTTTAGAATAACTCATAGGCCAAAAAGCAAAGATAAAGAACATCCCTTACCCCAATTAATGGCAAGCTCAGCTTTCTCCGGTCCTTCGCTTTCTGAATTCCTCCATATAAGTGCTTTGCTTCCCCCAGACTGGTCTTTTACATTGAGTCAGGCTCCCAGCATGCCTTGAGACCAGCTGCCTTTTTGATGGTGTTGATGGCCACTATCCCTTCAAGCTAGGTAGCCAGCTTCTGTAAAGACGTGGGGTGTACAGGGTAGAAGACACAGTCCCTACTTCCACCGTATTTAGTAAGACATGAATTTCCCCACTTCTAATCAAGTTGGAGTTCAACCCAAAATAGAGAAGATTAAGGATATACTACTAGGGTCTCTTGTGGCAGAAAGGTGGCAGGACTTGGTAAAATAACAATGACTACAGAGACTTTATTCAGGTCACTGGACATTCACAGGCCCTCCTCTTGGCTGGCATTCTCAGGCTGAGCTACAACCTCAACACAGCAGTTGTATTTGATAGTGTTGTACATTACTGATGTGTAGACTCTAAAGAAAATAAGAAGAAACAGAATGGATAGAAAAAAGAATCAGCTTCAGTCGAAAGCACTTCAGGGAAGGATAGTAACAGAAGTTCTCCTCTGATACACTAAAGGATCTGCTAAAGGCCCCCTGGGCTAGATTTCCATATATAATACAGGGATTTCTGTATCGTTATGAGAGAAAAAAAGACTTTTATGAAATGTGACCTTATAGGAGACTAACTTCCCAGATTTGGGTAGAAGAGCAAATGCTGATGATGATAACCAGGCCCAGATAGTTGTGGAAGTGAGAGCTGACCAAATAGTGACCTAATAAGACGGGATGCTATTTTGTTTTTTGTGAGCAGCAAGACTAATACCAAGAGTTAGCTGCAGCAAATTAAATGGTCATGAGTTGACACAGTTTAAATCAAGTGGAAGGATAAACAGAAATAGTCCTAAGTATGACTTTTGCTAAGAAAAGGGCAAACTTTGAGAAATAAAGGTAATGTGCTAATGAAGTCAACCAGACAGAAAAACCCAAGGACCTCAGTGCCTGAGATGTTCTTAAATCAAAGATGGAACAAAAAAACTTGCCTGGAAGTTGTATGCTAAATGAGGGAATAAAACTCATAGAGAAGGGTTTTGTATCTAACTGGAATTCAATAAGGATATTAGGAGTAAAGGGAAGAGCTTTAAAAGAGTGGATAAAAGGTATGTCTGGCCAAGAAAGGCACCTCTTGGAGGTCAAGCAACATGAGGATAAAGTGAGAATGGGCAAAGGTTAAGCTGTGGTAAACCTTGCAAAAGAAATTAAAACAAAGAGCATATTTACTTTTTATTTACTTTGGTCAAGTAGATAAAAAGAGACCCAAGAAAGAAGAGATAAGGTCTTGGGGAATAAGGAAAGTGTCGTGATAAAAAAGCAAGGCATTGCCCCAAAATTCAATGCCTACTTTGGCCTGTGTTCAACTAAGGACAGAGATGTTGACCAGCAGGCAAAGGCAGGATCATAGAATCATAGAAGAACAGTCCTGGAAGGGACCTGCAGAAGCCGTCTAGTTTAATCCTTTGCTCAAGGCAGGATCATCCTTTGTCCATCATGGACCAGTCTTAGAACTTATTGCTAACATTTCTGTCTACACCACATTTGCAGGGAGCGAGGTGCTGAAGCAGTCCCCAGCTGGGCCCAAAGTCCTAACTAGCTTTTAAAAAGGGAGCTTGATAACCATGGTCTGGAGACTGGGCTCAGCAGGTCCCTTCAGCACTAGGAATGGAAAAAAGGAAATAACCACTCAGCGCTGGTCCTTCTGTAACTGCCATGCACAGATGACCCAATAGTACCCACAGTTCTAGGCAAGGAGGATATTAATGCAGATGAAAGAGAACAACAGACAAAAGGGTCCCAATGAAGTGGAGACAAAGTTGGGATAGATTGCCAAGCACAGGCATACTAAATATGATGCCTACCACAGGGATTCCTTTGGGCTGGGGAGTCAAAAGCAGCTGGAGATAATGCAAGCCACAGATGGTGAGTTTGAACACACGTATAACCTGCCAGCCTCCTTGGCCCTGATGTACCAACCTGCTTTGCCCGATTTGTGCTCCTCCTGGAAGGACTGATCTAGGAGAACATGTAATCTCCCTCTCCCTTCACACCCTTAAAGTGAAGAGGGTTTTATTCTGCCCACACAGAAATTTTATTATAGACCAGGTTTCTCCTACTATTCCAATAGTGCCTGCAATATGCTTATGGATGTTCAGACTCAGCAGTCTCCACTCTACTGAAAAACACATGCAGTAGTTCAGGGAAGAGGCATAGAAACTTCCCCCCCCACACACACACTTTTTTTTTTTTTTTAGTAATATGCATCAGCCATCGCTTTCACTGACATGCCCCCCTCTATGAAGAAGAGGGGACCTGTTTTATATAGACTAAGGTCAGGAAGAGCATTCAGATTCTTGCTTGGATTGTAAAAGCTGGCATGTTATCTTCTTGCCTCCCAAGTATCTATGCTCTGCACTGCACAAACATGAACAGCTCTCCCTGGACTGAGTGCCATTAAACATCATCTGTAACTGCGCAGTAATCATCCCTTCCTCCCCAGCATAAAAATGCCAGATGCTGTTTCCTTTCCGATTCATAGTTCTTTAGCAATGACCACACTCCAGGCAGCAGGAGTGCTCTGAATCTGCAAGCAAGGGGAACTTGAAAGAGACACCACTGTGCTTAAAAAATAGCAGGTCTGTATGAAGCTGTATTTTCCTTAGTCAAGTGAGAAGCACACACACATGCACACACCCCCATTGCCTTTCCAATTTAATCCCAGGACTGGCAGGTTCTTGCCAAAATGAAAAACAATTGTAGAACTACAAAAGTAGTTCAAGAGAACTACAAGTGCTAGAAGAGGTGTAGCCCATTAAGGAAAAGCTTGGTTAGATTTCAAATAGAAACAGACTCCAAACAAGAGGTGGCTCTGCAGTACTTCACGATAGCTAGAAACATCACAGTCCAACATCCGTTTTGTCAGGCTTGTCTTATGGAAACGTATGGAGGCTAAGGGCTGGAAGGGACCTCAACAGATCAGAGTCCAACCTCCTGCTCTAGGCAGGAATACTGCTGAGATCAAATGAGTCCAGCAAGGTGTCCGTCCAGTTTCCTCCTGAAGACTTCCAAGGTTGGGGACTACATCACTTACCAGGGAAGTCTATTCCAGATTCTGATCACCCTTACCATAAAGAAGTTCTTCCTTGCATCGAACCTGAAACCACCCTCTCACAGTTTATGGCCATTGCTCCTTGCCCTCTACTGGGGCACCCTAGTGAAGTTTTTCTCCCAGCTCTCGATATTCACTCAAGTCCCTCTGTCAAGAGAGAGGAAGCATCACTTCCTTAGCCCTGCTCATGATGCATTGGCTAATGCATCCCAGTATGCTATTAGCTGTTGACTACAGCATTGCATTGGCAGCTCACATGGACCCTGTGATCAACTATAACCCCAAGATCCTTTTCAGCCATCCTGCTGGGCAGCACTTCTCCTAACCTATATTCATGTTGCTGGTTACTTCTCCCCAGATGAAGCATCCTGCATTTATCCTTATTGAACTGCATCCGGTTCCGCTTTGCCCACCTCTCAAGCTTGTCCAGGTCCACTTGGATCTGCATCCTATTCCCTAGCGTGACCACTCCTCCCCAGAACTTGGTATCATCCACGAACTTGGTCAGCATGCTTTCCATGTCCTCATCTAAATCATTGATAAAGATGTTAAACAGCACAGGACCAAGAACCAAACCCTCCAGGACTGGCAGGTGGCCACCTCCCACCAAGATGATACAGACCTGTCCACTAACACTCTGAGTTACTTTTGTAACACAGCAAGAATTACATTACATCCTCCTCTCATACAGCACCAAGAACACCAGCACTGCAGTATTAGCAGGAGAGTATCATCTGATAAAGGTTTTTTCCAACTTTTTTGGCATTACCCATGCACTCTCTACAGTGAGGACCATACCACACTGAGATAGATGTCCTTTTTGCTGCGTGATTGGAAAGAGTTAATCAAGGCATGGAGCTACGCTGCAGTAGCAGACTTGACATCCAGCATGCTCATGGTCTTACCAAATGCCTTTCATTTCAAGGATGCTGAAGTGGGGAGCACTCCATCTCCTGAACAGAGATTTAATACAAAAAGGGTGGAAGTAGATGCTCTGGATATCAACTACTGCCAAAAAGGGAAGCAGTTGTAGTCCCACCAATACGCATCATGGCTTTTTCCCTTGATGTTCTCCTCCACCTCACAACACTGATTAGGTTACTTTAAAAACCCCTTTCTCAGCTGCAATTTCTCCTCCTAGAAAACTTCTAAAAAGTTTGCTCATGTCATGCAAGGTGTAATCCATTTTGAGTGTCCACCTTGCCATCTGCCCAGGGACCATGAAGACTCTTTGAAAAGGGCATCAGGATACATTGCCAAACTCATTAGCTGCTCCTGAACAAATTTGGCAGGAAAGACATTAGGCCTGCCTGGAGACTAGATGTTCCAAACTGCATTGACCTGTGCTATCCGTCTCCTTCGAATACTCTTGCAATGAATGAAACTTGCTGAGGTTCACAGGACATGTCATTTATTAAAAAGGAACCCAGAAATCACTGAAGTGGTGAAAGCTCCAAGTTATTTCCCATTCAGATGAGAAGAATGCAGAAAGGACGACTCTCTCTTTAATAATGAAATAATTTATTTTCTAACAGTTGAACAATACAGAAGTTTACATATACACAGCAAGGTCTTCTAAAACATGTAGTTTCTAAAAATGCATGTGCTAACTGTAATAAAAAGCACCTTTATATGGTCTTGACACAGGATTTATAATGATGTGGTATTTACATTAGGAACTGAACATCTGGAAACAGAATTCATATTCTCCCATCTGCTGCTCCCCTGTTTAGGCTGTGTTTATTATTTGGAAGACTGCCAAAAATAAAGCCGATGGTTTGACAGCAGTGTTGCTTAAAGGACCAACCCAAGGAAGGGAGACAGGAAAGTTTGGTTCTTGTATCAATTTGGAAGGGAAAAACCCCAGCACAAATAAAAGAGTTAAAGAAATCCAAATCAATTTGAGGTCCGGGCACTTCAGAAGATATATAATGTGCTCAGAGGTTTTTGTGGGATTTTTTTGTCTGGTGTCACACTACAGCTATCTAGCAAATAGCAGCTGAGAGATGCCCAAGTGACTTCCACCTAAAGAATGAGGCAGAGTTATCTCAAAGTAGTAACTGAGATGAGACTTAACACATCCCAGGTTTATTTCTAAACTGGCTGTTAGAGATTTGGGTCTGAGATGACTATGTGAGGTTGGGATGTTTATGATTTTTCCTCACCTCAGGACACATCTACTCAGCTTGCTACTCAAGCAGCTGTTGTAGGAGTTGAACATTTCAATAATACTCGGGAACTGGGTACCTGTTTCTACTACTAGTTTAAAAAACACAAAACACAACTTTTAAGTTAAGCGGCAATAGAAAAAACAACAGAATATACACATTCAGGGGAGCAAACATGTAGCTTGGCAAAAGCAGAATTCTTCCCAATACAGTAATTTACAGTGTCAAAACCTGAAATCTGTTACAAAAGGGGCAAAATTAGAACTTAAAGCCCTAATGTATTGCTACACAAATCTCTCAGAAGCTTGTTTAATCTGGTTCTTATGCTTTGAACAAGCAAGTGAAAACCCACCACCCATCTTTCACCCTGAATCCTGGGCTCTCTTTCCACCACGTTTATAGGTTTAGTGCACAGATTTGTAGCTCTGGAGTAAAACCAAACAGAGTTTTCCTTTCATTTTCAGAGCTGTAGTAGGTTTGGGGAAGGTGGAGGGAGAAGTGCCATATTAGAGAACAAAGTGCTAAAATGGCAATAGGCAGAACATGGCCTGCTCATGCCCAGAGCTCAGGAGTATTTCAGATCATCTTGAAAGATATGAAGTTAGTGGCACCTATGGTGCTGCTCAAAAAAGTGCTCTCTGAATTTACATCATAAATTGGTATTAGCAATGACTCTGGAGATTCACAAGATGTAACAAACAGCACCTTGAGGAGCTTGAAAGCTCTGCTTTGTAGACTAAGTTTTGCTTGGGTGCTCAAGCCTCAGGGGAAAAAACCTCAACAGGTACACCCAATACTTTCAGATGTTTAAAGACAGACCTACACTAACATGTATGTTACTGCAACTTTAAAATTTCTGCTCTGATTAAGTGCAAGAGTTTCCAATTTCTAGTTCAATTGAGTGCATGCCTGGTTTCACCATCTGCACTGACACTTTGTTATTGAGGGCAGTATTTTATAATCTGCCCTTTCAAAAAGAAAAGAAAAAAGTGTATTTTCTATTAACACACTTCTGTGCAACCATCAGTTGTAAACTTGGGGTATATGAGTAGCCCCTCAATTCCCACCCACCCCCCTATTTTTTTTAAACAAGTCTACAAAAATTTTAAATTGCTGCAGCTTATTTAGTAATAATGCTGGTGGATCAGTGAATTCAAGGAAAGGCTGGCAAAACAGAGAACAGTGCTACCATTTCAGCAACCTTGGAAGTAGGCTTTGCCACCTGAGGCCCTGGCTTGTCGACTAGCCGAGAAAGATCTGAAGCTGCCAAAACTGGTCCTAGTCAATAAAAGAGTAGCCTTAGAGCTCCCATTAGCAAAATTTACTTCCCCTGCCTAGAGTTTTGGAAAAAGACACCGAATATACCTTTGTGTCAGTTTTGACATTAGTGCATTGTTTTTCAAAATTCAATATTTTCTATGCCAACAAGATTGAGAAGACCACATCCAGTGCAAAGGTCAAAAAATGACTGTTTTATATTGGGACAACACACGCAATAGTTCACAAAAAAAAGTGAACTGAAAAAGGCAAAACAATAATTAAAAGACACAGTAAACTGAATCTGTAAGATTCGGTACTTCTAAATAATAATAAAAAGAAAATACAAAGTATACAATTTTGTATTTCAATTTTAACCCTCTGATGCTTTCCAAAATTCTAGTTACTCTGACCTTAAAAATAAAAAAGGTAGCAATATCCGCAACTCTAGGTTTGGATTTGTGAGGCAGCTTATGCAACATTTGGAACAAAGAAAAGAAAAAGCCAGAGAGGTCTCTCAGGCAAAAATGTGTTGGAGTGAAGGACCTCAAAGTGCAGATATTCAATTTTTTTTATTATTTAAAAAAGTTTACAGGTTTTGAGCTAGCTCTCTGAAGATTTTCTGCTTGGACTCAGGAAGTAGGCTTAAAAATGCAAAAGGCATACAAGTTGTAAGTTCAGTGCAAGTCTGCTGGACATCTGAAAATTCCAGCTCTTTAAAAAAAAAAAAAAATCCTTCGTTTTCAAAACATAGCACACACAAAAAGGAGAATAGACTTTGGAGATATGAGCAATCCACTAGCCCCGTTTCCCATTTTCTCTTGTTTCAGAGAGTTCAAATGATCCAAAAAATAGTGTAAGGATATTTTAAGAAAAACAAGTCTCTTTAGAGAGTTCATTCATTTGCAATTTATAGACTGTCTTAGTGGCTTTTGGCAGCTTGACTTGTCAAGACTTGACAACTGCATTTTTTTTATTTTAAAAGTCTTCAGGCAAACAGGCAACAAAAATGGGCTTTCATATCACTAAATAAGCTACATAGCCCTTTTATAGAGTGAAGTTCAGTTGCTTGGTTGGCTCTCTCTGGTTATCTTGTGCGAGTTGGTTTATTACCAGAAACAAATGTTTAACAGTCATTGCAAAGTTTGCCAAGTGGGCTGAATATAAAGATCCTAAAATTTTTCAAGCAAAAAAGGACAAGGGGGGGGAAATCTATGTCTCAGTTAGCAGACCTCTACATACAAAGTTTCCAGAACAACTATAAAAGCACAAAGTCATAAGAATGTATCTCCATTACATTAGTTTCATATAAAATGAATAAATACTATTTATAGATCATATGTTTTATGTACATTTACATGTGCTCTATTCAGCTTAAATGAAAATGTTGCAAGGTTTGAAACCACAGCTTGGGAAAAAAAATATTAGTTTTTAGTTGGCAAGCAAAATCCTTAATGAAACAGATTTAGAGTGCCTAAAAATACTTCAACCAGTTGAGGAAGTGCTTTAATGCCAATAGCACTTCACTGAATAATCGTAGTAACGTACTATTAGCAACATCCAGTAAAATGTGCCCTTTTCGATCACTGACAACCGAAGATAGCACAGCTACCTTCCTCATTCAGTTATTGCTAAATTTTATAGGAAAATGGATTTCAACAGGACCGAGCATCACTTATCTAAAACAAATGAGGCATAATTATTTTTGTGCTAAAGGGATTGAGATAATCTTTGTTCATCTCTCTGAGGTAGAAAAAAATTGTCCCAGAGACAAGAAGCATGAACAAACTTCTAGGAAAACTTGCCTAGAACAGTAATATGCAGCTGTAATGCAATGAGGTCATGAATTGCACTGGAGAAATAGTACCATTTGGTTTTAGGTATTAAAGAAACTTGGAAATGTGGAAAACAGATGTACTTTCAAGAGACGGAGTAGTACTTGCCTTGCTAAGGTCCTACAGCTCAGAAGACTCCTTGCAATTTACAGAATGTGCCAAGAATCTCACAAGTTTGGTCCCACAGTCCTGTGGCAGTTAAAATTCCCACTGGCATGTATGAGTTGCCAGTCTGAGATCAATTCTGATGGGACTATTCTTGCTAGACAGGGCTGCTCTACTGAAGGGACTGAAACTGGAAGTCAGTGCAAGTTCCGATTAAGACAACAGGACTGGGCCAGAAATACAATTACATGGCTATGCAAATACAAACACAGCACTCTGAACATTTAAGAACCAACTGTTCAAAGTGATGTCTGGGATCTTGCTGCATACTTCTCAGGAGTACCAGAGGGCTGACAAAGCCAATATGCTCCGCACATCACTTTGAAAGTTCACTCCACCGATTTCCAGATCTAAACTAGAACACAGTTGAGGTTCACCCTTCAGATTGTAGTCCAAACAATTATGCTCAGACACTTGAGATACGTTTGTCACTAGGCAAAGACAAGGTACATTTAGAATACTAGGCAATAACAGCAAGGCAAAACAATGAAGAGGGAAAAAGTAGAGGTTTTTTTAAGTTGTTATTACTGCAAAAAGATTCTTGGGTGCTTTAAAATTTTGTTGGAATGTACAGTCTCACAGAGATGAGTTTACTGACAGAAAGAGAAGCTAGTGGATGCAATCAGATGTGTGCTCCAGAGAGTAGCTTGTAACCCACAACCCTAAGCACTGTTTTGGGACTTGGGCAAAGCTGATTTTGGTAATGTTGTTGGTACATTAAATTTACGTGCAAGAGAATTATGGGACGGTCCAACATACTACCTAAGAAGATCCAACAGGGAAACAGCAATGGATGGAACAGCTACTGGAGTTGCTTCTTATAGGCTGAGACAAGGCTTGTGATTGTTCTGCAACTTTAATCTTTTAATGCCAGAGCTGGAGTATCCCTCGTCGCTACAGATGCTCTGCATGCTTCCCCTTTCATCTGAGTCACTCGGACTGCTGCTGCTCCAGTCTAGATCTCCCATTAGGTAGTCTGTGCTTTCAACATCCACATCAATTTCTTCTGTAAGCAAAAAGATCCTTAGTAAACAACTGTTCCAAGGCAACATTTGAGGTCTCTAATACAAAGTGGGGGACAGGCTTCATTCCACCTATTAGGTATTTAAATTGTATTTTGCCACATACGCAGTCCACCCTGCTCAAATCCTGGAATGACTTAGACAGGTTAAGTCATCAATGTTTATTCAGGGACATGACCAGGGTGGAACAGCACTGCACTTAAAACTCCCAAGAGGTGGAAAAGGATATGACCCATGGAGCCTTCATCAACCAAAGCACCTCACCTCTATCAGAGTCTGACCGTTCTGATGACACCGTGGATCCTATACTGTCCATTCTTATTCTTTCTATGCCCAGTTTTTCCAGCTGCCTTTTCAGATGCCGCTGCTCTCGCTGCAACTGGTCTATTTGGTGTACTGCTTTTCTGTCGTAGTCTTCAAGCTTCTGTGGGTAACGAAGAGGAGACATGTTTAGTTCTTTTGGTCACTGTGGGTCAAATCCAAATGTTACTAACTCAGGTACTTAAAGGAGTGGCCTGCTTCCCAGAGGTGGGTGCTCAGCACCTTTGAAAGCCAGGTTATTTTTAGATGCCAAAACATGGCTTTAGTTGACTAATCATGTTCACCCAGGTTTCAAAGCACTGGCCTAGATTCAGCACCTTTTAGGCACATGCATTAGAGGCAGCTTTAAACTAAAAGTAAATTAAAAGAAAATAATGGAGGTATTTTAAACACAACTGAAACATCTGAGCAGACAGCTTTTCAAATGGAGTTTGCTACACCCACACTAGTAGCCAAAACCTGCAGCCTAAAAACCCAAGTTTTGTCCCAGGATCTACACAAGTGCCACCACTTTCTAGGTCACCAACTCCAACCCTTGTTCTCACTGGCAATAGTTCAAATCACCTCAAAAAGCCCTTGGTCATTATGACTTAAAGCTTGTTTCAGAAGTTGATCCCAGCAGCACAGCTGAAGTTATTCCACATGCTTCACACAGTGGACAAACACTTGTTCACACAGAATAGGCAGGATTTCTTTGCTTCTGTACACACCTCCTGGGACACTGGAAACATACTCTTTTTAGTTGCACCTGCTGGTCCCCCTTCTCCCCCACATTTACTTGGACAGTGGAACTGAAACTCAAACGGGGTGCTCTTGTGCAGATAGGCACAGCAGTGCCTTGTCTGTAGGGTCCACCAGACCTACTTCTAGATGAGAATCACCCTGAAGCTACACGGGATTGCATATAAATGATGCTTCCCTCTCAAAAAAGTGTTTGTGCGCAACTCATCTGGCAGCAGCCCAATCCTATTAATATCTATTCCAAGACTTTGATATCTAGCTATTTGTAGCCAGCCTGACGCCAAAGAAGTCCCCCAACCCCACCCCTTTTTCAAGTCCCTGGTATTAACTGGAAGATAAAATACTTGGTATCCTCAGGAAAGGCTTCTAACTACGTCAACTGAGAGTAGACCACGTCACTTCCTTAGAGCAAGGCTATGAACAGCAAGAACATTTAGATTGCAAATTCTTTAAAGGCATAATGTTGAGCATATGCAAATATAAACGTTGAGCAGCTGCCAAGGTTGAAAAGAGGTCCTCTGGACACTATCACAATACAGCTGAGTATAAACATTAAAAATTAGTCCCGAGTGAATGGTGATGTGGGAGTAAAACCGCATAAAGATTAAGAAACTAACCAGCAAAGCTTTTAGGCAAGGCTGATCTCCACTCATGTTTTTATTCATGTCAGCAAGAAGTAGCTGCTTAAAAGAGTCATTGTCTCGTTTACCCCCCACCCCATTTTTGTGTTATCTATGACAATCAATTATTTGGTTTGCAAGAGAGTCGAGTCCAAGTACTAACCCCAAAGCAACACTCACAATTGTCCTCACAAATCTTGTCATACATGAGGGTTACCACTGCTTTCTATTCAATTATTTTATATGCTTATTAATGTTCTTGATCTTACCTTTATGTGCAATTTAGCTTTTGTAAGTAAACTCAGTGTGGTATGTCTATTGGATTCAGGCCCAAGTGGTACCAGCCCCTTCAGCTTCTCCAGACACAGCCGTAGATGAGCACGCCTATACAGAACAAAGAGTGCATGTCATACCGAATATACTTTGTGCGAGTAGCAACTAGGTAAGATAAGGCATCTCACAACATCACTTAACATCTGCAAGCAACTACAGCAAATATAAATCAAAGTATTTAGACAAGTCCTGTCAACATTATGTGACAAGAGGGTAGTCTGGATTAGAAATATAAAAGCATGTATTGCTCTGTATTTTCTTTTGCTACGTGACTTAATGCATCTTGGTGTAATACCAGATGCCTCTCCCCCAACATTAGGTATATCAATGTATTATTCCCAAGATCAGAGCTGTGAAGTGTTGGCCATCCAGAAAAGGAAGAATGTTCTCCCAAGCCATTATGTTCCTTCATAGAGTAGACACTTTTAGAGGCAAGTACGTAACCCTAGTCTCCTCTTCAAGAGGAGACTAGACAGCCACTTTGCTGGGGTCACTGGACCCTCAGTTACCTTTCCTGCTTGGTGGAAGACCCAATGATCTTCCGAGGTCCCTTCCAGCCTTACAATCTATGAATAAGCTGGAGAATGTTTCAATTTTTTTTTTTTT